GTTTTGCCTCGGAGACATAAGGATATTGTGCAAAACAGGGTATTTGTGCCAAAAAAAAGTCCACACTGCTTGTTTTTGCACAAAGACCCCTTGTGCAAAACTGGCTTGAATAAATTATGCAAATGAAGCACGGCAATATGCTAATCTGTGCTTCATTTGCATAGGCTGTTGAGGCAAAAACCGCAGTGTAGAAGCCTAATTTACTGTTTGTTTCTCCGTTTTTTCCCTCCTTTCTTCCCCACCATTTATTTAGAAACTGGACCTTCAATAACTCCATTCATCTGAAGAAGTAGGTTGTGCCCACGAAAGCTCATGTTACCATCTACAATTTTTGTTAGTCTCAAATCCCGGGCTTCATTTGCAACTCCGGTTGCCTACATTACCACCCTAGTTCGAACTAGGGTGGTAGTGTAGAAATACCCAGAGGTGCTGCAAGATTATTTGTCTGTTATATTTTAAAAACAACCATCTAGATTTGTGCAGAATAATTAAAAACTATTCAAAAGGAAAAAAAAAAATCTTGATTTCTAGCTGACAGTCAGTTAATGAAATCACATATTTGGCTCTGATGTGTAATCAGATTTTAATAATAAATACAATTTTAGTACATTTTGAATACATTAAAAGAATGTACTACTTTTCATTATTTAATGTTTTTCACTACAGTAGAAAGGTGAGTTATATTCTGAATTAATTTATAACCCTATGAAACCCCAGAATTTAGACTGGTATGTGTAAAATTCAAAGCATGGAAATTTTATAAAGAAAAATATCAAAGGATAATTCATCTGAGAAAGGGGCTCCTATCAGACAGGCAAAGATTAAAGGGACCTGTGGGACAAAATTCACTACTAGGGCAAACAGATGCAACTCCATTGAAGTCTATGAATTTGGTCCATTATATTGGGTCAGGCTACATGTTCTATTTTTATACTGGGATAAAAGAAAAAATAATTTTATTATTGCACTTCAAAATTAGTTAATATTTTCCTGATAAGTGTTACTTCTGCATATTCTGTGTATGTGTGCATATCAGAAGAATATAACTCAAGCTTGCACAAGTAATCAAAACAAAAATATTAGAGAATATAAAAATATTTTAAGCCAGTGGTAGACAACCTGGGGCCCACTGGGATTTTGTGTGTGACCCATGTGGCATTTATTTACTGTTGCCCAAATGCAGAGTTGCCAGATTCTGCTGGTTTCTGTCCACATATTTTTTTCCTACCGGTATTACTAACATTATATGCATGTAAAGCAAGGGCATATGAAGTGAGGTGTGTGCTGATTGTACAGAACATTGACTGTGCGAGCTGTATGATCTCTTGCATCCAATCAAATCGCTGCTATGGTTCAGTTAGCACATCCTGGAAATTTTAGGTACAGAAGCACAGTTTAGGTACAGAAGCACAGCGAAACTACTCTATCCCGGGAGATCGTCTTGGTTACTACAATCTTGCGGCCCACTGAGATGGAGGATCACTCATGGAGCACACTCACTACTAGCCTAGGTAGGCTAAAACATAATGCTGTTTTAGCCATTTTTCTAGATTAGGAACAGTCCGATTCCACACATAGGCTACGTCTAGACTACATCCCTTTTTCGTAAAAGGGATGTAAATTAGACGTATCGCAATTGCTAATGAAGCGGGGATTTAAATCTCCCATGCTTCATTAGCATAAAAATGGCTGCTGCTTTTTTTCAGCACGGAGCTTTGCCAGAGAAAAGCGCCAGTCTAGTCACTGATCTTTTGGAAAATAAAGCCTTTTCCGAAAGATCCCTTATCCCTCTTGATCCTTCCGAAAGATCAGTGTCTAGACTGGCGCTTTTCTCTGGCAAAGCTCCGTGCTGAAAAAAAGCAGCAGCCATTTTTATGCTAATGAAGCACGGGAGATTTAAATCCCTGCTTCATTAGCAATTGCGATACATCTAGACGTAGCCCCAATGTTTTGAAATGCAGAAAGACAATGCAAATTAATTCATTTACATCTTGCTAACATAATGCATAGTCAGAGAAGGAAATTTTTACTAAACATACACAATTAAAATTCCATTGGCGATAGCAAAATGAGAAAGAAAAAAAGGAAGCAGAAAAAAAATCTAAAAATTAAAAGCAACAGTCCACATTTATAGCAGATCAACCCAGAAGTGAGTTACTCTTTTGGGCCCAGGGTAAACAATAGGTAATATTTCAATTAAATCAGTCTAACTGCCCACATTAGAATTGTTTAGACTGCTGATTCCAGAGTCTTCTGCTCTCAAATGCTGGGAAACAAACCCTTGGTGGAAAGGGATGATATATTGTTATCAAGTGATAAAGCAATGTATGATCTAGATTCAGCAAAATTATTTGTAATTTGTGTTTCAAAACGCTGTACTTGGTTTGGTTCAATCTGTAAAGTGTCTTTCCTAGTTTCCTGTTCTTCAGACCATAAATGAGCAACTAAGCTCTTTTCAGGTGGCCACAATAGGCCTGAAACGATAATGTGATTAAATCATGGCTATAGGCCATCAGAACACTGATCTCACCAGATCTGATATGAGGTGTTTAGCCATCTAACAACATTAACTGTGTTTTCTTTCATTCTAGCTGTAGCCCATTGGAATAATTCCAACTCTTTTGTTAAACATTATTGGAGACCAACAGACAGTGATAAAAATAAGCTTGCTACAGCAAATTCCAGCTTATATGTGGGTTTTATTGTTTCACACATGAGAAAAACAGATTAGTGTTGTGATAATCAGGAATGGTTTTTGATGAAAACTGATTTATCATTTGTTTCCTGAGATGCCATTTTTACATGTGTTTTATATGTATTTTAACTGGTTCTTTAAAGTATATTTGTAAGAGGTTTGTCATATTATAAGTGCAAGATTTCCTTCCCAAGTACCAGCTACAGACAAAAGAAGAATCCTTGTCTATTTTACGGACTCCCTAGTTCAATTGGGCCAAATTCTAGGTTTAAATCTGGAGTAATTCCACTGAAGTCAGTAAGCTTATTCGAGATTTTTATACTGAGTGTAAAGGAGCAAGATTTGGCCTGTTGTGTTTATAAGCTTTATATTTAACAATAATGAAGAATTTGTCTAATTTTAGAGGACTTTTACACAAATATTATTTTACAATTTTAAAGCACCTTTCGTCTACAAAACCTGCAGAATTCTTTAAGCAAAAGTCAACTATTGCACCTGCTCGGAGATTCACAGTGAGGTTGGACCACAGGGCTTAAGCCAGTGGTCCCCAACGCAGTGCCTGCGGGCGCCATGGTGCCCACCGGGGCATTTATGTGTGCCCGCTGAAACATCTGGGCTCGCCCCGCCCCGCCCCCAGCACGTGGCACATGCACGGTGCCAGCCCCGGACGCGCAGCATGTGGGCGGCCCCACCCCTGGGCATGCAGCACATGTGTGGCTCCACACCCAGACACCCGGCACGTGAGCGGCCCCACCCCCGGGCGCCTGGCAGCCATGAAAGGTTGGGGATCACTGTAAAGCCTTCTGAGCACTGGGAGGGGCGGAGGCTCTGCACCTTGCAGGACTGGGCTCTTACCATTTGCTCCTGCTCACTTTTAAGTTAATGGTAGAATTCCCAATGACTTCACTGGGAGCCAATCCGTTCACACCCACTGCTAAACTGCAGCCACCTCTGGAGCGAAATGCTGGTCCAGGATATTGCATTTTTAAATAACAGCATTTACAGTAAAAACAAGGCATGTCTGGGTTTTACGCATCCCCACAGATATTTATTGGAACACATGGGCCATGTCTACACTCACGGCTTCTTGCGCGAGTAATATACAAATGAGGCTAAGCGTGGAATATTGTTGAGCCTCATTTGCATACCTAATGAGCCACCATTTTTTTTTCAGAAGAGGCTCTTGCACAAGAAGGAGCATCTACACTGCCCCTTCTTGCACAAGAAAAACCCTCTTGCGCAATGCCGTTACACCTATTACTTTTCAGGAAGAACGGCATTGCGCAAGAGGGTTTTTCTTG